ACAGCTGTAGGGGACAGGCAGTAATCAAACCAGTAGGAGCTAAAGCCCAAAGCAGAAAGGAGTCTGTCACCTTGAGAAAAAACTGACTTGAGCTAAGTCATCTTGCCTGGAATTTTTCCTGAGCAAGCAACTGTAAGATTTCTGGGGTTGTTTTGTTTTGCTTTGTTTTGTTTTGTTTTTATGTTTTTAGATATAATACCATCATAACTTACTAAGTACCTCCTGCTACATTATACGTGTTACATGTGCTGTCACTGGTACTCACCAGCAAAGAAAGCATTTCCGTGTTTTAAGCTGAGAATACTGAGGCTTGGGTGCCTTGATTTGATAAAGGTCAGAGCTAGTAAATGGGAGGGATGGTATAAATTTGGGGTCCTTCTGCTCCAGGGCCCACACCCTTGACAGAGCACCACTTTGCCATGCTGTAAGTATACTCTTTGCATAGTCCTCCCCACAGTTGGGACCTGTTTCTTAGTATCACCCTTGTGGACGAGCTGTCTTACTTTGACCTCCTGGTCAGGTCTCAGAGACCATAAGGCATGAGCCTCTTGTCCCCCTTCTCCCAGACAACAGGACATCATGCAGATGTGGAGCCTAAGACAGCGTTCTCCCTCCACCCTCCCTGCCCTCCATCTTTAACCCTGACTACAGGACACCGGGGTGCTGTGCTGCATGCGGGTCGCTTGCAGCACAGTTATCACTGGTTCTGCCCAGCTCAGCACCACAGGTGATAGCTAGCTCACCCTTGGAAACAGCGCATCCGAAAGCTTGGCTCCCTGGCCATTGCATCCCAGCACTGCTGTGTTGATGTGTGAGTGTGAGCCAGAAGCTTAACCCTACTCCACAAGTCTCCTCACTTCGTGAAGGCTGCTCTCTGTGTCTTTGACAGATGACCTTGCCTCCGGTACCTGCTTGTTCCACAGTATGATATACTAAAAATTAATAAGCCACATTTCAGTTTGCTCATCTGTAAAACAGGGATATCGCCTACACGTTTGTCTAGCCAAAAGGAGGCTTTGCAGATTAAGCTACACATGGTGTCTAAGATCTCCCAGATAGCTGTATTGACAAAACCACCATACAAAACTGTGGAATAACTTAGGTAAGGCGAATTCTTGGTTCCCTGGCTCCCTCACCCAGTGATCCACTCATGAGTTCGTACTACGTCTTCCTCCACCAGTGCGCCAGCCAGGTGACTTTGTCTTCTGTTACATAGAAGAGAGGCAGGGTGGACTAGAAAAAAACAGCTTTAGTCCCAGTCAGCCACTCACATTTACTTGGCTAACTACTTACCAGCCTTTTATAACTTGATAGAGACCTCCAACACTGAAGTTCCCCATCTGCAGAGAACTTTTTCACAGATAAATAGGCGTGTGCAGAGCAGAAAGGAAATGTACACAGGAGTTCACCTGGCATCGCAGTTGCCTGTTGTCCCTGCCTACCATGCTAGCAGGTGGACTCACTGAAATGTTGTGCCACTCAAGCCTGCAGACTGGCATGCAAGCCCACCTTTTGAAAGGCCATTGGTCACCTGGGGGCTTAGTCCACCCTGTTACAGGTAGCTGTCACACTTCCAGCAAATACGTTCTTGAAAGCAGCGGTGTTGCATTTCAGATTTTTAGAACTCTGAGCTCCTTCACCAGGGCTTAACTCCATCTCTACAAATAAGGAGAGCAGAAAGTTCTAAGAATCCTGCCATCATCTGGTTCTCCTGAGGGCCACAGCAGCAGTGGATAGCTAAGGCTTACATTCCCTCCACATGGAGATCAGAGAGCTACCTTCCACTGCCACCTCCACTACCTTCATGTTCTCACTCCCACACTGAGGATCCCAGACAGGGATCTCCTGAATTAAACCGTGACTCAGGATAGGTAGTAGATCATCCAGTTTATGGCACCCTGGGAACCAAAATGACCATTGACGTGAATAACAACAAAGGAGATGGAATGAGTGTTCCACTCCAAACATGGTGCTGTTGTGGGTAGTTCACTCAAGTTCTTACAGCAAACTCCAGGGATAAGTGGCACCACATTTTCTAGTGGAAGACTTGTTATGGAAGTGGCAGTGAGTGGCAGGGATTGAACTTGAACCCTCAAGTGTCTGCTGTAAGCCTGTGCCCTTCCTCAGTGGAGCACTGCTGGTTACGAGCATGCTGTTTCAAGCATAGCTGTGGCTCCCAGAGGTTGTGTTACCAGACTCATACTTTTCATAAGACAATACCTTCGAAACCCTGGGGAGGGAGCTACCATTCCTTACTTTTCATTATCCTATAGTCAAAGAGATGACTCTTTTTGTCAACGAAATAGAGAGGCTCTACTTTCAGAGTAACAGATAATTCCTTATTCACCAAGATGTTCCAAGTCTGCAGGGTGAGAAGGAACGGGGCTCAGCATGAGCCCACCCACCTATCAACTGCTCACCTCAGCTCTCCCCAGCTCTCGAGCTGCCAGTGACCTGAATGGGAACAGTAGTTTGACTCCCCAGACTCTGGGTAGACCAGACAGATGCTCAGCTGGCAAAGGAACATGCTGGAAGGCTGCTCACTGTCTGGTTGGCACTGCATGCCCCCTAGTGCTTTGGGTGCCAGACCTGTGCAGGGGCACGAGAGCTTAAGCCTTCCATGAGCTCTTTTCTGAGGGCATCTATTTATAAATGCCAGGATTAAATGGGCTTTAAGCTCTCCTTGTCTCTCTAGGAAGGGATTTTGTTACGAAGTCACATGTTAAAGGCAGAATCTTGGGAGTGAGCCCAATCTGGATTTGGACCGTTTTCTCTATCACTTCCTCACTGTGTGACCCTTTTCTGAGCTCCACTTTCCCCAGCTCTTTAGGACTAGGCTAACAATAGCCCCTGCCTCTTAGGGTTGCTGGGTAAAATGAGGCAGGAAATGTAAACCACCCGGTTCCTTTTGGGACACAATGATGAGAATGCTGAGTCAGAAGCTGCTACCTATAAAGCCTTGAAGTCCTCAGTATGTGTTTGCAGTGTCAAGAGCTGAGAAATAAGGTGGGTGGGCTGTGGGAACTAATCCAAGAGATAAAATAAGAAAGGGTTTGTCGTCAAACCTTCCATGTCACCTGCCCCGAGATAATGCTGAATGCCAGCTGTCTGAACCCATGGCTGTCCTATATCTGAAGCTTCCATTTAGCCCAGAGACAGACTTGTGATACAGTGTTCAGAACACCACGCAGCTCTCTCACTTCCTCTGCAAGGTATATTGAGTTGGATCATTTGCTTATCCCTTATTTTGGGACCTGTAAGTTACTGCATCACAACTCAAAGCAGTGAAGATCTTTATCCACAAAGTCTTTTCCACTTTGGTATTATCAGTGGGGCTGGACTTCCAGGAGTGGAATTGGAGAGCTCCAGGTCCAGTCACCTCTAAGTCTGTTGCCAGACTGCTTTCCTGAAGGCTTTTCTAGACCTGGCTAGTGGCATTGAGGTTGGGGGCATCTTTGCCATGGAGCCCATGCCCAACCACAAGCAGTTTTGATGGCTAAATTACTGAGGGCTGTGCCCTATTTAAAGGCACTGTGGTCATTGTCCAGCTAGTGACAATGGCTGAGAAGGAGTGGCTTCATCAAATGTCAGGACCTGTAGGCCAAGAACCTCATTCCACTCAGGCCTCCACAAAGGGCCCCTGGGTTTCAGAGGGAGAGACTGAAGCTGATGGGAGGTGAATTGTCCAGTATCACATAACCCCCTGCTTCTTCTGAGGGCCAGTCTGGTGCTCTCCAAGAGATAAGCACAACAGGCCAGTGTCATGAGACTGCACAGGCAGTTAGAGCGGAGATGGCATGGGGCTGGGAGGAGGCACACTTCTCAGAGAGTGGCCAGGGTTGTAAGCTCACCGGGAAAGAGACATTCAGGTTAAAACTTGGCATTCTTCAGTGGTTGCGTATACAGGGAGGATGGGGCACTGCTCCCCTAATGGACAGTCCTACCTGGGTCAGGGCTATACTTAGCTCGGATTAGGGGCCTCTGGGTGTGGGGCCTTGAGTTGCCGGGCTGCCTTGACTAATCTTTGTAGGCTTTTGGGTTCTAGGTTTCTGCTGAAGTAAGTCCCTACCCGTGACCTCTTGTGTATTACTGGTTCCTGGCACCAAAGTAATGCCAAATAACAGCCAACAAAGTCAGGCACTCTTCTGAGTTTTCTCAGTATGGTTGTGCACTGCATGACAATGTCAACAGCAGTCCCATGAGATCGTATCGCTCATTGGCATCATAGCCATCTTAGCTTGTGTAAATGCACTGTATGAAGTTCAGATAGTGTGTTTTTCATATCATGTCCTGGCCATTAAGCCACGCATGACTGTATTAGTTCGTGTAATCTTCCCACTAACCTGTGACACAGGTACAAGTGATGAGACCAACGAACAGAGGGCTCAGATCTGCCCAGTGTCGAGTGGAAAAGCTGTTCCTGAACCACAGTTCTGGCTCCAGAGCTCTTGTCTGTAACCCCAGCAGTGGGCAGAGCGAGGAAGTCCTGGCTGAGTCCACTTCTCTGCTTGGGACTGGGATCCTGGTCTCCTTAGGACCGTGACAGGCAGCTAGAAGTTCTTGGAGCCTGGTCCTCAGTCTCCTCACCTGTAAAGTAAGATAAGGAAACTTGAGGAGGTTGAAGAGCAGCAAGAAAAGGCTGAGCTTAGCAAGGCTATCATCCTCAGGCACAGACCGGCCAGAATGGATCTTATGGAGCCCTTCTGCTAAGGGCACAGGGAAGCTGGCATGGGAATGAGGTGTGCATGAGATTTGCAGTCAGATTGGTGGCTGGTCCCCTCTTCCTGTAGTCACTGTGACCTTAGACACTTCAGTTTCCTTGCCTGAGAAGTCAAGTGTCTGGCAGGGTAGTTTTAGTGGCATTTGATTTACCCCGTATAAGTACATATTTAGGAAACCCCACCCTGCACACTTCAGTGTTTCTGAGTCAGTTTGGGTTGGGGGCTGCACCCCTAACCCGCTGATCAGTGTCCACCCCTCGCCTGCCTTCTGTCTTCCAGGTTGATCCCTCGGGACCCACAGTCTCATCATGTCTCACAAAGGACGGCAGAGGTACAGGTGGTGGCTTGACTGGTTGGCGATCTCCCGACAGCTGGATCTCCGGCAATGTGAAGCTTTTGTTTGGGTCCTTACCCCCACCCCCATCCCTGCTTTTAGTTTTGCCCCCCTCCTCTTTCATTTTCATTTTTTAATTTAAACCATCCAGACTTCTGAAGAGCAGAAAGCTATGCTGTTGACAGGCACCATTTCCTGAAAGAAATTCAATGTGGACAAAGCATATGTGTAAATTTTTCTGTTGATTTTTTTTTTTTTTTTTTTTTGCCAAATTCAGTACAATGGTACATGAACAACCAGTTTGCAAATTTTGTAGGAGACCAAAAGTGAGTCATAACCTGGGAATGTTTTGAGCACACAATTTTTTTAATAAGGGGTTAGGGGGCAAGTTTGGATTTGTCCTTCATTTTCCCTCTGTCTTCTTGCCTTTACACATCTCTCAGTTCTGCTTATAGCATCTCACTTCCCAGAGAAGACCTGTTACCCCAGAAAGAATTTTGGGGTTTCTCCTGGAATGGGACATGAATGTGGGAGCTGCTGGACTCCTTGGTGGGCTGGTCCTGGCTGCCCCTTGGGCCTTGGACAGCATCAGAGGCACAGAACCACCTGGAAGAAGATAACCAGGGTTTGGCCAGAAGGATTCCACAAGGAGGCAGAAGTGCCGGTGTGGTTCTCTTTTAAGCTGTTGGCAGCCCCAGGCCACGGCAGGACTCACAGTGATGGGAATGGGTCCCCTCTTCCGCCCTGTATAACTGCGTGCCCGAGGGAAGAGGTAGAGTGACCATGCCCCAGCCCAGCTGCACAGGCCTACCTTCCGTGAGGACTGTTGTGCCAAACCTCTGCCTAGTTCACACAGGGTCTTCGTGGGCATCGGCACCACTGTGAGGGCAGTACCCACACCTGCTGTCTGCTGGACCATCGCCTTCCCAGGGTGCCCTCAGATGACCTGCCATGACAGACAACAGCTTTTTCTCAACTGGCCGCTGCCATTGTCTCCCCAGCAAAGGGTATATGCCCTGTGTACAGGGTCCAGTGTCACATCCAGTAGTAGACACTGTTAAGCGCCATCTCCCTTACCCCAGGGACTTTATGTTAGGTGCCCACCCACAGTGTAAATGTATCTAATGGGAAGAGAAGGACCTGCCCCAAGCAGGATAGACCAGGCCAGACAGAGCCCCTGAGGCTGTTGAAAGACCTATGTGGGTCCTTGCCACTTGAAAGCATCTGGGCTGCGACCCGGCAACCCCACCACCCAGTCTTTATGCGTAGCCAGCCCTTCTCCCACTGCCAGTGCTCTCGCAGCCTCCTGCTGGGTTGCTGCGTTACCCTCCATCTGAATGTGCACCTAGCTGCCCCAGACCTTCACCAGGCTTTTCACCCCGTTCTGGCCAAGTGGAATGGGGGCACTGGCAAAGGAAAGAGGAATTGTTTATGTCCATTTTTGTTCGTTGTTTTACCTAACCAAACATAGGGTTGATGGGGAAGTAATTGGAGGGTATTTTGGTTAGTGTGTGACCAAAAGGGGGTTCCCCGAAGCAGCAGTCCTATAACCCTGGGATTATGGGGGAGACCAGCCCAACTTCACACCCAATTTGGCCACTCGTGCCCTTTAGCCTTCTCAGGCCCTGGGCACCAAGGCTTCCCTCCCCTTGGGCAGGTGGCTGGCTACTGTCCGCAGGGCCCCAGGGTTGCAGGTGGTAACAGCCCTTCCCTTTCTGGGCTGTGGTCTACCTGGTGGCCTGTTTCTTGTCTCCTCTCTGACTCTCAGACGGCCCTGAGTATACCCAGAGTTGCAGCTGGAAGCATTGAGGCAGCAGCGTCCCCCCGACCCCCCACCCTTCTGTGGGGGTAGCTGTCTCTATACGGCGCATATGGGACAGACAGTCCCCAAACTTGGTGATCCCAACACTCCCTGGTGGCTACCGGGCTCTAGACTCTCTGGTGAGGGCTGTTACCTAGCAAGTCCCCTGCTTTTTGCCTCTCACTTTCTCCTGCTTTGCCCAGTCTCTGATCTCTGTCTGAATAAGGTCTTGAGTCTGTAGTGTTTCCCTGGGGTACTTTTGTTGGTATTAGAATTCATCCCGCAGACCTCAGTGGGCAGTCTGGGGGTGGGGGAGTCTTCCCTGCACTCTCACCGTCAGGCACTCCCAGCCTGCTCCTGCTGGGCGGCAGTACTTCTTGCCTAGCTCAAGTGAGGGCAGCTCTTTAGCCCCAAGTGCCTGTCCTCCCTGCTCTCTACCCTGTCCACTGCAGGCACCCAACCAGCCAGGCGCAGGCTGGCTCTGCCATGGTCAATGGGCCATCCCTGGGTCAGCCACTCTCCTCCCTCCCGATGGGATCAGCTTCCTCCCTCTGTTGCTTCCTCTTCCTGCCTCTGCCCACCTGAGTTTCTGGCCTGCGAGCAGCTCTATGGGGCATCATCTCAGCACCACCAAGTTTGTTAGCCCTCCCTAAGTTCTAGGAGTTCGCAAACCTTCTGACAGAGTTCTCATGTCTGTGAAAAGGATATCCTGTTGGAGGAACTGTCTTGTCCTTGGGCCTCGTGAGTGTGGACCCAGGTACCCCATCAAAGAGAATCAGTGGGACAGATCATAGTGCCTTATTCCATTGTCCCCCGACCACACCTCCTGGTGCAGCTGGAAGTGGGGCTTCCTTCTCCCTGTCTGTCCATCTATCATTTGCACTCTTGCTCCCTTTCCACTCACAGCCACAGGAAAAGGATAACAGCCTCCCACTACAGTTCTTCCCAAGGGCTGCAGCCAGGCACACACCCCTCACCCACTTGGCACTCCAGTTAGCAGCTTTAGCCCAGGACAGAAAAGCTGCTGCAGAAAGGTGCACTCTGCCCCATGTTCCTTAGTACCCCCTCCCTGCCTCTTACCTCTAGCCAGTAGGGTGCCACTGTGTGCTCCTTCCAGACTGGCTCCATCTGACCCCTTCTGGATACTGGGGACTAAGGATGCAGGCCTTGGCCTGGTCTCTTTCCAGGCCCTTGGGACAGGTCGTAGGAACTCTTTCCTCCTACCCTGATGGGGCTTGCCCCCATGGCTACTTTTCTGAGGGAGTGTATTAAATGTTTACTTAAGAAATACCCTGTTTACAGCTGGAGAAAAGTGTGCCCTCACTGGATGGAGAGGTTACCCTGGGCAGGGCCTGGCTTCCTTTAGGGCACTACCAGTGGTGGCCCTAAAGCAAATAAAAACAGGCCTGGGGCAGGGGCAAAAGCCCTTCACTCCCTCTGTTCCCGGACCCTGTGGTGCTAAGACCACTGCTCACCTCCTTCCAGCCCTCTTGCCCTGGACATTCCCCACCTCTGTCATTCCCTTCCAAGATTCTTAGCTCAACATATCACTTGTCTCCTATCCTAAAAAACCAATGTTTGGAGCAATAAGATTATTTTTGCTTGAATCTTTTTCTAAGAAAAAGAAAAGCTGGCATTGTGGGAAATTTTTAAGTTATTGGCTGTTTACAGAACTTTAAAGGATGAATATCTAGGTGTTAGCCTCAGGGCATCTTTTGGAAACAGGCTTCCACCCCCTGATTGCCCTTGCCTCACTCAGTGCCGCCCCTTCCGGCCCTGCCCACCAAGCTCATTCAGCTGCCCATTGTGCAGACACCCCTGCTCCCACACCTACGGGGCGCGGGTGGCTCTCACTCCAGGTGGGTCTATTGGTTATCCTTCCCTTTGACTAGTTGTCCTCCTGAGGAGCCTGGCAGTCCCCAGACAGCTGGCCCTCTACAGCCTGGCAACCTCAGAACAGCTGTGCTTCCCTCGGCTTTTCAGGGGCCCCCAAAGGTCCAGAGCAATTTCTTCTGCGCCTTCTCGTGCGGAGTTGTGGCCTGGTCAGCACAGTCCATCCCCTTCCCTGCCTTGGCATGAGGGCAGGAGGCTCTTTCCTGGCAAAATGTTCCCAAAGTCACCAGTAGGAGGGACATTGACATCCACAGCCATCACCGCAATGAGTCTACTGCCATTGGTTGCCTGAGGGCTGCTGGGATTGCAGAAGATATCAGGAGGTCCCGCAGGAGAAGGAGCTTCTTTAGGAAGGGACATTTTGAAGAAATCTTGTGACCCAGAGGCTTCTTTCCATCAGAGCAGGGGAGGATAGTTTACTGACTTCCTAACGTTCATTGGGACAGACTTGGGTGTGAGGGAGGTTTTAAGCCAGGCACAAAGTTAGTTTCAAATACTAGTTAATCTATTTTTCTTTATTTTCTTTTTCTTTTTCTTTTCTCTTTTTTCCTTTTTTTTTTTTTTTTTTTTTTTGCACAGAAGCTGGTAATCTAGGACCTACGTGTGAACAACTTTATATGAATATTTTTTGTACTTGGTTTACTTGGGTTGGTATGATACATATATTTAAGTTCCTCGAACACTGTGGATCCCCCTAATGTGTATGAATGACTGAGGCTTTGTAAATTAAGGGACGTTTGTGTGAATAAAGTTATTTGATGGGATCGAAGAAGCCATACATGATTTGAAACCCGAGTGCTTTGTGATTTTTGTTGCCTCCTGTTTGAGAAGGCGGAGAAACCAGCCCAGACCACGGTGCTAGTCTCTACTGTCACCATTGGTGGGTTGCGTGAGGAGAAAGGCTGCTTCTTGCCTCAGTATGATTGAGAAAACTGCCTTGTGGCCCTCAACCGGTCTTCCCTCTCTGCACCTGAGAAAGAGACACCTGTCTGCAGGTGAGCCACTAGTACCTGGGGGCATCCAGGATCCTGACCAAGCCAGATCCGCTCTTCCAGGGCCTGTGCAAACACGGGCAGCCCCTCCTCCAGTTGGCTCCAGGCCTTTTCAACCCCAGCCCTCCAGGTCTGTCTGTTCCAACCCTGGGGAATTTTTAACAAGAGATAAGACAGGTCACCACCACAGCAGCAGGGTAGGAGCTCAGTTGTGGGAAAGCTTGGGCTCCGTTGCAAAGGGCAGAACAACTTGGGGCTGAGGTGGTAGCATCCATGTCCCAGGAGCAAAGGGTCTGAGCCATCCAGGCCACAGCGGTTGGGTTGGGAATGGGGAAAGGAGCAAACAGCCCGTCTTCCCCCACTGGGCCAACAAAAGCCACATTCTGTGAAGAAAGGGGGCTGGAATTTAAGAACCATCTGCCTCTGACACCTCTGCTACCCTGCCTGGTAGCTGTACTATGTGCCCCGAGGAGACTGGGTGAGTACGTGGGGACTGGGAGGAAGAGACTTCTGTCACTTGCCAGGTGGGACAGGCGA